TTTTGCGGCCAGAGCTGGTCGTAACCCGAAAAGTTCATTAACAGAGGCGTTCGTAACCCAAGGTACCACTGTAATACCATTCCTAAAGTAATAGAAAATATAAAAATACATTGAAAATTGTCAAATCTTCTATAACTACAGCTTCAACTTAACATAGATGCCATTTTAGCTTTGATTTCACACCAGGAGAGATTTTAGCAGTCATTTCCATCACAACATGTCTATATACATATTTGTCCTTTCACTTTTGCTGGGGTTCAACTAATCCTAATATTTCTTTTATACATACAGTATTATTCCAACAGTGGTTGTGGAAGTGGACGTGTGATGTGTGTGGACTGAGATCAGTTATGATGAACCCAAATGGGTGAGAAAATAAATATTTTAAGACATTGGGAGTGGGGGTCTTCTACAATTTGCTTCCCAGCTCTACTGATTAAGCATCATCTGAATATCTAAGATTAATCCTAAATGTTTAACGTATAGCCAGCTCAAAACAACAGAGTGGGTGGGATATGGGTAAGGAAAGAGAAAAGAATTGCTTTTGATTGTCAAAATGCCAATATTATTAAGGAAACCTTGAGGGTTTTTTCCTCTAATTTCTCCCTTCTAACTGCTTCCTGAGATATTTACAGCTCCTTATAAGCTGGAAAGGTGAAGAGAAACAATAAATAAATACTTCCTGTGCTTTCTTAAAAAGAATCCTGCCCAGATGTAAATCAGAACATCTGTGTAATTTCCACAGAAGAACTGACTTCTCTAAAGGTTAATGAAGAACCTTGAGGCCAAATCTATTGTGATAAATGAGATCAAGATGTCTCTTCTCCATTTCATCTCGAGGGAAACAGCAGCTTGAGTTGAGGGCTGAATATTTCAACATGGGGAGGAGAAATCTGCTCCTTCCTCTCTGAACCCCAAACAAATAGGGTTCCCCTGACTGCTTTGTCAGGTGATACAGGTGAAACCTGTGAGACTCATGCTCTATTCCACATCGCCTCTGACTCTCATTTGACCTCCGGTCACTTTGACACCATCTGCAGGTTTGGGACTAATTGAAGCAGGGTTTGACAGATTGCAGCTGAACTTCACTGCCAAAGAAAATACTTGCAAAAGCCAAAACTTGATTTCACAGATCTGCAGCTAGGGAAGAGAATCTGTTGTCCCCACTTCCAAGTCTGAAGCTTGAAGAGGGTGGAGATGACCTCCACAGCAAAAGGACCCTTCTGCAAGAGTGAGGGTGATCTCTATAGCCAACTCCAGCTCTAAATTTAGCAATATTATTTTGGTGTTGGACTTCCAAAATACACTGAGAGCTGCAGGGCCAAGTGTTGCAACAGCCAGCTGGGGACTCCCAAGAGCCAAAGGTAAAAGAGATGAGTCCCAGCAAGTCCTTCAAGGGCTGTCAATAACCATATTGGCTGGGAAAGAGTAGAAGCTGACATCCAACACATCTGCAGAGTACAAGTCTGCGGAAGGGTGTTGTAGGGTAAGTATTCCACAATCTTGGAATAAAATCAGGAAACTTGGATTTAAATAGTTATAATTACATTAAGAAGAGCTTTGAATCAAGTTGCTGAAGAAATCAATCCTCTCCTTGTCCTCAGATATAGACTTCTTAAAAGCCATTTCTTTATTCAAGAGTGAAACTGTGGATAAACTTTTGCCACACACTGATTAATTCTAATAGGCCCATCAGCAGATGCATAAAATTGTTTTCTATGGTGGCAGTGATCCACCAGTTTAGCAGTCTCAGCCCTGGAGCAGCAACCCAACACTGACCTATTCTTTCCATGTTCTCCCAACTCTGTTGGAGCTGTTTGTTTAAGCAGTTCTTATGTAGCTGGGAGAATATTCCCTTAGAGTCTACGATCAAAGGTTAACTGTGTAGGTCTTCCCTGTGGAACAGCATTTTACTAGGATTTGAGGTAACAGAATAATTAACCACTGTGCTTGGAACTTGGAAAACTTTTTCTCAAACTTCACATTGGCCCTGGATTCACAGAGTGGAAAAGGAAGCAGGAGGAACGTATTAGAGTGCTGGAAGGTTATAGACAACTCCCTGCCCCAATGCCATTGCCAGAGTTCCAACGTGAATTAGGTCTCTGCATTGGGTATTTACATTTATTCTCAAGGCCAAAGCATGGGATCAACAAAATGTGTAATTTGGACCTCAGTCTCACAAGTGGTTTGACAAGCAAGGTAAAGTTGTTGCTCAAACACATTCACACAGCCCTGGGTTTGGCTGCATGCTTCTATGGATTGTAACTGGAGGGGGCTTCCAGAGAGAAGTCAATCCTCTCTCCACCCCTTTATATTTTAAAGCATATCTGATTATTCTCCATATTTATATTCAAGTGGCCAACATCACTTACTAATGATGATAAGAAACAGTTAAATAAGCCTCCTTACTTAGCATACCATGCACAAAGCAAAAATCACTTTAGTTTAAAGTCAGGAGGGAATGTTCATAAATAATTTGCGTGAAAGTACTGAATTATTATAAAACATGAAAAAATAAATGCTTGTTTCACACCACAATGCTCTTTTTAATCTAGTCAACCAAGAGTAGGCCTGCAAGTCTTCGGTGATAATCCTAGCCCTGTCAACACACACACACACACACACACACACACACACACACACATATCACCAGTCCCTGGAACTTTAAGCAGATGGATAATGTCACTACCATTTTGGTCCTCTCTTGTAAATGTAGTCTCTATATTTTCAAGAAGGCCCTCTTTCCTTTGGAGGCTTATAGAGGTGAAGAATTAACTAGCTTCTTTAAACAATTTGACTCAGGACTGGCAATACAGTGACAATGACAAAACCTGAAGCACCAGGATTTTTGCATTCCACTTATGGGCAAAGATGAACTATACTAACCTCAGAACTAAATGGACCATATCGGTGGCCAGCAATATCTGGTTGGTCAGAGTAGAATGCATAAGCATAGGGCCTGAAAAGAAAAGCAGACATCACAACTTTTGTTTAGCATACAGATTCTCAAACTTTCCAGTACTGCAAACCTCTAAAATTATAAACTCATTCACGTGGCCCTGTGAATAAAACTAATGATTTCATTGGGTTTAGGGTTGGTCAAGAAATAAAAATCAATATATCCAGTAAAAGATTGCTAGAACTTTGCAACTCTATAACAGAAAGCCTACTGATTGGAAATAAGCAATAAAACAATCACATTTCAAACCATGAGGATAAGCTTGCTCAATTTTGCATAACTCCTGAAAATCTGGGGTTGTTTTTGAGAGTCGCTCTTAATTGGATCAATATTCACTCTCTGTAGCAGTAGCTTTAGAAAATCCTGATTCTGCTATCAGTCTGCGCAGGCAGAGTTCCGACAACTTTCAGCATACAAACTGTGAGGTTTGTGCATGCAAAGCTGGAGCCCAGTCAACACTTGCTCCAGGTTTTGCTTGGAGAAGCCTGCTGTCAACTTGTTTAGGCAGAGCAGGAGCAGGTTCTGACAGTGATCTCTCTCCAGGTAGCACTCTGGACTTTCCCCTTCACTTTGCTGGGATAAGGCAAAGCTGGATTGTCCTGGCAGAATGGGAGCAAGTTCAGATAGGGCTCTGACCTTGTATGCACTCTTGTTTATGAAAAAAACCAGAGAAACAGAAGGCTGTCATCTCATATATTTTCCAGTGATGAAACAATGTATTGTTCTATTTTGTAACTTCATTATAATATTAGAAAGTATGCCAAAAGAGGCACAGTCTCTTGGAAAAACATTCTATAATTTCCCCTACGAGAGGGGAAAATACTACAACTGTTTCTTCTTGGATCCTCCCTCATGGCAAAATACGATGCCACATATTCTCAATTACCCAATTAAAAAATCTTGCTATCTGCCCAACTCTTGGATTATTACTTGAAATAGGAGTAACAGAAAACCCACATATCAACAGCTTTAACCCATGTAAATTTTCCCCGGTACAGCATTCACCTCATTAGCTCATCAAGCAAACAAATATGGCTGATCAAAATTTGATGGCCACCAAGGATATCAGTAATGCAGTCATTATATTCACTGCTACAAAAGTAAGGGAGGGGACAGAGAAATTGCCAACCTTTCATTGTCTGGCATAGTTAGCCACTGCAGTATGGTTAATATTCTGCGCTCGTAAGGGATCACACTAAAACAAAACAGAGGAAAAAAGCATGAAACCTCAGTTAGATCATTAATTGTTTATGGTCTTACAGAGTTCGTCATAAGAGTAGATGTTCCATTTTTTACCTCTATGTGGTGGCTCACCCTGAGGCCACATTTACGTCAGCAATCTCTGCCTTTTTCAAACCAACTTAACTGAATTGCTTCCTCAACACCAGATCCCAGGAATCATGGCTACTAAATGTCCTCAAAATGCTCAATTCAAAAAGATTCCTTTCTTTTCTTCACAAAACTAAATGTGGCAGAATGTCCATAGTCTTTGCTAGATGACAAGCTTTCTTCTCTGCTGTCTGAAGCTTGATTGGGCTATTAAATTGTGCATGGTGTTGAAAAAGTGAATAGGATTTTTTTTTTAATCAAGAGAGACTAGAAACATTAAAACTGATGTCATCTAGCGAAGCCGAATGGTGGGAAAATCATGAAAGATAAATGAAAGTATTTCTTCAAGAACATGTAGCTCAACAAGTGAACTTTGCTTCCCTATGATGTTTTAGCAGTTGTCAGCTCAATAGCTTTAATTTAAAGGGGAAATAGCACACATTCACAGTGGATAAAACTATCAGTGGCTACTTGGAATTATGGCTAGATACTACCTTCAGCATGAGTCTGAATACTGGCAGCTGAGTAACATGCATAAGAGGACGCTGTTTTATTCATGTCTTCCTTTAATTCATGTATTCCCATCGGCTTCTTGACCACTAATGCTGGATTACATTCATTGATCCAGCAGAGTTTGTTAGATAGGTACAGCAACAAAGTACTTGTAAGTGAAGGCTGGATACCTTTACAGCTGGAAGACACTCATAACATTTGGAGGAGGGTAGCAACAGCTTTACTAACATGCAGAAAAACAAGCTAGCTTGGTACTTTGCTCAATCCAACCACCACTGCAGATCACTGATTTCCCATCCCTGCTTCAAGTGATTCCTGTAGGAATGTTCAATTAAGCACTGCAGAAAAGCACTATATAAGTAACTAGGTATTAAGAAGTAACATAAGGAGAACACTATAAGTATAATTTAATCCACTCTAAAGAAGCAAGAGAAGAAGAGTGGAAAAAATATGCTGTCGGATTTAAAAGCCATTAACAGGCAGGCCAAGGAATAAATTTTATCTTTATTTGAAAAGTTAAGCCTTATTCATTTAAGAACATTTGGTTTCAAATATCTGCATCTAGGATTGTAGCTTTGTTACTAAATCTGTCTGGTATATGAATTTTCACTTTCTAAAAATCAATAAAAATCAATACTTACTTAGACCAAAAGAATGTTCCCGCTTTCACTCCTTGCTTAGCAGCAGTAATCCATATCTAATGAGGAAAATATAATCAGATTACAACAGCTCAAAATGTCTGTGTTATAAGGACAAACTTTCTTACAACATAAATGTTTTAAAAACCAATTAAAACGTTGGTTTCTCGTACTGCATCTAAGAATTTAAGCATTTGGATCCAAGAACTTGTAGCATTTATCAAATTCTTAGAAGGGTTTATAAGAAGCAGTTCAGATAAGAAATAGAACATAAAGCCAAAGAATAAAGCTAGATAAAATATATAAAAAGAAGCTCACAGCAGCCTCAAGTTATTTTCAGTCTGACAGAATCAGAGTATCATTATTGACAATACTTGGTTGAATAGAACACAGTATGGAAATGGCTACAGGAATGGCCTGAATAAGAATGGCAATCCATAATGATGCTACTCTCAAAGCAGTATTTAACATCTGGTAGAGATGTACATCAATCATGATCTGAAGTGGGTTCTTTTGGTTGGTAGCAATCTTTTGATCTTTCCAAGTGAACTCTTTTCCTCTGAGCATACATGTGCACATACAGTGGAGAAATGCCTTTTATGGATGAACAGACATGCA